ATATATATATATATTACTGCTTGATTGGATTTGGCATTTTGTTAGCTCTAAGATATCTAAATGCATTTTCCCATCTGCCTCCCAAGACCTTTGAACTTTTCCAAATCCTGCATTCATTTCATATGTTTGTCTTTTAGGACCACAGGATGCTTAGAGACATTAATATGCTGTTGAATTATATTCTGTCTATCTTGCATGCCTTTATCTTTCAAGGTTATGCCTAGAGACATTTTCAAAGAGGCAGGAAGTGAGAAAAAAAGGCAAATCAGGGAAAAGATGATCCTGACTTTCCTGAATCTCTTTTCCACCCTGGGAAAATCTCCCCACACTCTCAGTCTCTGTGTATAGCTAAACCCTTTGCCAATTAGTCTTCTGAAAACACAGCTCTGATGATGATACTTTCCCATTCAGAAAGCCCCAGGTGCTCCCCACTACTTTTTTGGGCAGAGCCCCTCACTGATTGGGTCCCAGACTTTCCTCTTCTCCAGCCTTGTCTCCTACACCACCCCCCACCACTGCCCATCCCCCTGGTGTGGTGCCCAGCTGTCCCCTGGGCTTCCTCCTTGCTTGCCTTCCCTAGGTGGGTTTTTGTTTCCAAGTCCAGGGCCTGGTCCTCAGGGCAGTCAGGAAATGTTTGCCAGATGGATGAAATGAAACTTGAGTAGAAGCCAACACTAGGTCCTGTCCTTAAGTGCTTTAGTCCTGGAGGTCTTTCTTGATTACATCTTTCTTGCTGGGTTTCTCCCTGCTGGGTTTCATCTTCCCCTTCCCCCAACGCTCCATGTGCCTCGCCAAAGACCTTGGCCTTGTTTTTCTTTGCAGGATGGCCTTTCTTGTGTTTTCCTGTCCATCTTGCTGGACTGTAAGCCCCTGTTGGCTCAGACTCTCCCATAGCAGACGGTAGAGCCTGGGTGGTCCGCACTAGCACCTCATCTGTGAAGGGAGGAGTGGGACCTTACCCACCACATTCCTACTCCAGGCCCCACTGGAGGTGGCAGAGACCCACTGGCCCACATCTCTTCCCTGAGGCTGGTCAGCTGGTCCTGGAAATGACCTCGGTGGAAATAGCTAGGCAGCCACCACCCAGGAAATCCCTTGAGGCCTCTGCCTTCCTCCCCTACCTGTGTGTACACTTCTACGCAGCGTGTCCTGTTCTGTTTCCAGGGCCAAGAGCAGGATGTGAGGAGAATCATCCAGGCCCTCAATGAGTGCCTTGCTGCTCTTCCCCGGCAGCAGCTGCGGAAGGTCTGCGGCATCGGAGTGTCAGGACAGATGCATGGAGTCATGTTTTGGAAGACAGGCCAAGGTATGCTGGGCTCGGGAGTGATCACACGCTGTTGACAGTCACCCTGGAGCCAGAAAAGTGCTGCCAGGGGCTCTTCGTGAAGGGTCAGCTTATCCTGCTGCGTCTTGTGTTCTGTGTACAGCCTGTCTTGTTCAAATGTGTAACGAACAAGCAAACTGCCTGCTCACACAAGCTTCATGAGCAGGGAAAGGGAGAAGAGTGAGTTCTCTCTGATTCTCTGTTGGAGTCCACGGAGTGGATTTTCTACAGCTTTCTCTATTTGGGCTGATGTCTTGGAGCATCTGTGTCAACAACTAAGAAATTAGTATAGCTGCAGAGGATACTAGGACATAGAGGAAGTGCTTTTGAATTTGGGCATAGTTTTTGTGGTTTAACCTAATCACAGATATTTGTGCTTTTAAAATTCCAAGGTGCGTCCTTTTCGTGGGCGCACTTGCCAAGCATTATTTATTTGGCTGTTTTATTTCAGAAGGTCTGCCACAGTGCAGAGGTGGGTGGCCTGTTCTCTTTGGCCTCCAGGAGGAGAACTAAGCCAGCAATACAGCAATGAGCACTTTGCACGTCAGGTGCTGAGCTAAGGATGTGACCTGCTTGAGCTCATCGAATTTTCCCGACACCCTTATGACGTGGGTCATACTGTTGTCCCTCTTGTGCAGATGAGAAGTTGAGGTTCAGGGAGGTTAATATAATATGCTCAGGGCTATGTGGCAGCAAGCGGTGACTCCAGCTTTCAAACCTGAGTCTATCTGATGTCAGACACTGAACTTTGAATGGCCTCGGGGAGGACCAGAGCCACAGTGGGGCACAATAGCTCAGTGGCTGGAGGAACTTCCCAGCAGAAGGTCCGCGGAAGGGTTAGGCTCCTGTAGGAAGTTGTGAGCTCCTGTTACAGTAAGCATTAAAAGAAATAAAATTTTTTTTAATTATAAAAAGTTCTATGGGGACATCAAAGTAGGGAAAACAGTATTATGAACTGACACATACCCATCATCCAGCTTCAAAAATATCAACATTTTGGGAGAGGGTATAGCTCAGTGGTAGAGCGTTTTCTTAGCATGCATGAGGTCCTGGGTTCAATCCCTAGCACCTCCATTAAAATAAATAAAAACCCAATTGCCTCCCCCCCAAACAAAAACAAACAAACAAAAAGCAACATTTTACTGCAGGTGTTTTAAGCAGAGGTTGGACGACTACTTTGCAGGGGGTGGAGGGGACAGCTGAAGTTAAAGAGATTTGAGCACTGGATTCATCCCTTTCTGCTTGGCGAGTCAGCAGTTTCGATTCCCCGGGGCCAAGGGAGTGGTGACTTGCGTCTCAGTAGCTTGAGTGGGGTCTGGTGATGCATCCTTTGACTGGTCCCCAGGATGGGCCTGGGTATCTGCCGAAGCCAGCACAGGCCCTCTCCCTCTCCTCTGCCGGTCGTCAGGCCAGCTGGGACCACAGGAGCTACTTGGCTCCAATCAGTAGCCAGAGCAAAGGGCCGATTAGGATGTTAGAGCTGACCTCTCAGGGGGAGTCTAGGTTGTAAAAGCTTTTTAAACTCCTTAATTTTGTATTAACGAGAATAAATGTCCTTTTAATACTAAAACCCTTCCCAAAGAGAACAGCAGAGATCTAAGGCATGTGGTCTGGTCACACGCCTTCCTTTCTGCCAGTCTCCTGGTCTCTGTAACAACCGCACAAACCATCGTCCACGTCATTGGAGAGAGCTGCTTAATATTTCATTGAGCCCGCTCGCGTGCCTTCTTGTTTTGTTTTCTGTTTCTGGGAAGGAGGAGAGCCATTGTTTGACAATAATGATACCTGCTTAGCAGAGTGAGTGAAATTATATATGAGATCAAGTCATTCGGCTTTTAATAGCGGCCGTGAATTCAGTTTGGTTTCAGGACGCACGATATAGGAGGCTCTGTGCGGGGCCCCGCGGGAGACATTGGAACGGGGATGCAGCCCTGGCCTTCCAGGGCTCACTCAAGGCAGTCAACACAGACGGGCACCAGTAACCTGAGCAGAGAGCTAAGTGCGTCCACGAGGGCACAGAGGGCACCGGCGAGCCACTTGGAGGAGAGGAGAGGGAGTGACTAGTGTCTTCTGAGAGGCCTGTGGTTACACCTGTTTCCACATTCCATTTCCAGGCTCAGTAATAGCAGGAAAGAAGTGGGGATCATAAAACCCAGCTAAAAGGCAGGCAGCAGACAGGGAGAAAATATTTGCTAGTGTATAGTAGACAGAAGACGGACATGTGTACATATGAAGAACGAATAACAAAGAAAGGGCAAATGGCCCTGTGGAAAAAGTGGGCAGAGGAAACCAACAGGCACTTCCTAGAAGAGGAAATTCAAATAGCTAATAAGCCTATGAAAAGATGCTCAGTGTCATTAGTAATTAGGGAAGTGCAGACGAAAACAACAATGAGAAATCATTTTCCAGCCACTGGATTGTGAGAAATCAAAGTTTGAGAATGTCAAGAGTTAGCAAAGGGGGTGGAAAACTGGTTCTTTTAAACGCCACTGCTGTTAGTGTAAATTAGCATATCTGTTTCGGAGGGCAGTTTGTCAGGGTATTAAAAATGAGAAAGCTGCAATGACTCAGCGGCCCTGTTACTTGGAATCTGTTCTAGAAAAGGACTTCAAAATGTATGTGCAAAAGAGGCATAACCGTGGTCGCTTGTTGCATGCTTATCGCAGTGAAAACGGTGACGTGTAACCGTGCTGTAGAATGGTTGGTACCCCATGCTGTAGAATGATACGTTTGGGAAGGGTCAGGTTATCCTGCTGCCTCTTGTGGCAGAAATATTAGGCATGAAAAATATAATAGTTCAAATAAAGAACATAGTAGTTGGGACTGATAGCAGAACGGGTAGAACTTTGGAACAAGTTAGAGAATGACAGATCAGACTGAGGACATCTCTCAGAAGGAAGAGGGAAAGGACAAAGAAGTAGAAAATAGTTTTTAAAAAAGCTTAAGAGCTATTGAGGATACAAACAGAAGTACTAGTATCGGAATAATAGGAGACCTAGAAAGGCAAAAATAAAAATGGTAGAGGAGGAAATGTTTGAAGAATTAATGGGGAAAATTGCCCCAGAAATAAGCTGGAATGCTGCAGAGAGGGCCCAGAGAATGTCAAAGAGGAGAGAGAGGGAAAAGCCCACAGCTAGAGGTATTGCAGTGACCTTTTAAGGATTTGAAAGACAAAGAGAACATTCTAAAAGCTTATAGAGTGAAAGATCAGATCCCATATGAGTGCCTTAGAAGCATATTAACATTCGATTTTTTCCAACAGCAACACTCCATGTAAAGAGGCAATGGAATGGTACTGTGGTTGTCTACTGCCACAAAACAAACTACCTCCAAATTCAGTGTCTTAAAACAGCAACCAGTTTTATCATGGCTTGTGATTTTGTGGGTCAGAATTGGACAGGGCTCAGCTGACCGATGTGCTCTACGTGGAGTTGACGGCAGTTGCTTGGGAGTACTCATCTGGGACAGACTAGTCTGGAGGTTCAGGGTGGCTCTGCTCAATGCCTGGTGCCTTGGTGGGGAAGCCTGGAAGCCTGGGCTCGGCTGGGGACGGTCTGCCAGATGCCTACACATGACTTCTCCATGTAGCCTCTCCAGCATGGTGGCCTCAGGGTGGTGGGACTTCTTACGTGGTGCCTGGCCTCCCCCAGAGTGAGTGCTCTAGGAGGCTCTGGTGGTTGCTGCAAGGCTTCTGATGACCTAGTTTTGAGAGTCCCAGGATGTCACTTCCACCACATTCTCTTGGTTAAGGAAACACCAAGGCCAGTCCAGATTCAAGGAAAAAGGACTTAGACTCTACCTCATAAGGGGAGGAGTAACAAAAACTTTGTGGTAATCTACCACAAATCTACAAATAAATTTCTTAAGTATTGAAGACAAGGAACTTAAAACCGGGAGTATTATAACTGATTAAACTATCATTCAAATATGAGGATATGAAAATATGCCCTGAGGCATATAGACCTTCAGGCACTTTAACACAGAACTCTACTCTGGAAACAATTTGGGGTGAAATATTTAAATAAGAGCAGAGGAAAATTCAGGAGATAGTTCAAGCAATAAATGAAGGAAAGATGGCCAGATTTCATAGTGAATTTTGATGTCTGAAAAATCCATTAGCTAAGACCAAAGGACAAGAGAAAATATGTATTTAACCATCCAGAATCAAGTCTAGCCAACATCATCATGGTTGGAAGGACAGAGACCAGGGGACTTGTGAGTGTGCCAACTTCTTTTCTTACATGGGAGGGGGCGATACATCAACTTAAAAAAATGAATAAAAAGGAGGGTAGAAGAAGCGAGGCAAATGAAGGGAGTAGTGACCTGCCTGGGGTCCACACAGCTGTTACGGGTGGAGCCAGGTACTAGACCTGGGTGCTTTAGTGTCAGAACCCCTGAGTGCCAGTGCAGCATTGTCCTGGTGGTAAAATCTGCCCTGTAACCTCACTAGCAGAGTAGTCTCAAGGACTTGCTGGTGGTCAGTGGCTCTTTTCTCCATTTTTGGTCATCTCCTTTGTTCCAGGCTGTGAATGGACAGAGGGAGGGGCCGCCCCTGTGTTCGAGCCCCGAGCTGTGAGCCAGCTGGTCACGTGGCAGGATGGCCGGTGTAGCAGCAAGTTCCTGGCTTCTCTGCCCCAACCAGAGTCCCACCTCAGTGTGGCCACGGGGTTTGGCTGTGCAACTATCTTCTGGCTTTTGAAAAACAGGTATGGAAAATAGTTCTTTGAACTGGGTGATGAATTTCCAGGGGGAATGGCTACGGGGCTGTACCTTCAGCAGGTCAGGATCCCTCCATATGCTGGACCATCCCTCAGTGAGTGTGGCCCAGCAGAGGGTGGAGTCACAAGACTTAGACTTGGTCTACCCCTGCTTCATTTTGCGGAGGGCTCTTCTTGGTTATCTGATTCTAACCCTGAGGGGGAAAGAAGGGGCCAGAGAGGGCGAGGGGCTTGCCAAGGGTCACATGATGTGTTCATGGTGGGGTCAGGGCTGCTGAGAACGCCTGATGTCCTGCTTTCCCAGGCATAGTGAGTTCTCTCCCCTAAGGCTGACTCTGACCAGCTTGGCTTGGAGGCGCTGGGAGGTCCTCATCTTGGGAGTTCAGCTGTGGTAGGTCCATAACCTGAGGGGTCCTGGCTGCCACCCAGCTGCACCATGTCTAGTCCACAGTGCCCACAGTTAGGTTGCAGTACATGCTTTCAAGTCGATATTAGACCACACTGAATTGTTCTGAAAAAACAGCCCAGAGTCCCTGAAGTCCTACGATGTAGCTGGCACCATCCATGACTATGTGGTTGCCATGCTGTGTGGCTTGACAAGACCCCTGATGTCCGACCAGAATGCTGCTAGCTGGGGATATTTCAACACCAGGAGCCAAAGCTGGAACTTAGAGATGTGAGTATAACCTTGCAGGATGGCTCGAGGCCAAAGGCAGAATCTTTACAGTGGGAGTTTCAGTGGGGCTTTTCCATCTGGGAATAGTGGAGGATTCCACAAGGCCAGGAATCAGGTTCCAATACCTCCCAGCCTGTTCCAATCTGTGGGCATGGGTGGCCTGGCTGTAAGTGACATCCTTGGGGAGGGGTGCCACCCACCACGCCATGCAGTCCTGCTCCTCTGCTGTCACCCAGACCTAGGGTGGGGTCCTTTCTATGAGTTCTTTTTGTGATCTGGGTCCAGCCCGAAGATTCCAGAGAACAATTACCATTCTTTAATGTATTTTAAAATAGGGTCAAGCAATGAAAGCACGGAGCTTGAGGGATGCCTTTTAAGTTCTTTTTAAACAATCATTTACCTTTTCAGGTCCAGAAATCCAGTGCCCTATAAGTTCACTTCCTTCAGGGCCCAAATTCTGAGCTCTGTAATAAAACAAAAAGCACCTGGTAGTTCAGGTAAAGGACTTTCTAGCATGTTTTATAAAATTGACAGCCCCATGTTCACTAACCCCGAGTGCTGAATGTGTTTGTTATCCAGGACATGGATGGGTTTGACTTTGATTTGACCTGTTCTAACCAACTGCGACTTCGCTCTAAACCTCCAACTGCCTCCCTTTGCAGAGTGTTTTGCCTTCCCTTCAAACGCAGGAGGCTAGATGCCAGTGATATCTGCCTCTTATCCAATCCTTTTTTTTCTTTTCTTTTTAAAATGTATTTTATGTTTATTTTTATGCATTTATTTAGTAGGGAGTGGTGGTAATTAGGTTTATTTATTTATTTAGCTTTTCGATGGAGGTACAGGGGATTGAACCCAGGACCTCGTACATGCTAAGCAAGCACTCTACCACTTGACCTATACCCTAACCCCCCCATTCTTTCTGATCCCCTCTGCTTACACTGGTTGTGTTCTTCCCCGGAAGGCCTATCCCAAGCTCCTGAAAGCCAGTGTTCACTCTTTAAACAACCCAAGCCTATTTCTCATAGTGTTAAAAAAGCCAAAGAGGCCGTCTGTGAACACACTGGATTCCAGCCTCTCTTCTCTAATGTGTATCCTATAGCGCTTTCCTTTGCTGACTTTCCTGGAAACAACGAAAAACAGAAAACAAACACCAGGTAGATATACTGTCCACTTTTGGTTTGCAGACTGAGGGCCGCAGGCTTTCCCGTCCACCTGCTCCCAGACATCGCCGAGCCCGGCAGCATGGCAGGTAGAACTTCGTGTGCGTGGTTTGAAATCCCAAAGGGGACGCCGGTGGGCGTGGCCTTGGGTGATTTGCAGGCCTCTGTCTATTCCTGTATGGCCCAGAGGACGGACGCAGGTAAGGCTTTCCTTGGTTCTCTCCTCAGATGTCTACTGGGGCCTCCTAAGCCCCAGCTCTGTGCGAGGGTCCAAGGGGCACATGTAGCCAGCAGTCTCGGCATCCTGTTGACTGGAAAACACTCTCATCCCTACAGATGAAGCTCCTGCCCAAGGAGCTTACAATCCAGCAGGGCAAGTTCTGTCCTGACCACAGTCCGTGCCTTTCCTCTCTAGGGCCAGGTGAGGGAAATGACTCTAGTGGGCTGGTTTCTGTATATCTCCCTGATCGAGAAAACAGATGAGTAGATTAGGACTTTTGTTCCTGGGTGTGTGTGTGAATGAACGTTCCCTCCAATCTGATTAGAAGTGCAGAGTCTTTTCTGTTTTCTGTGTAAGAGAGTCACAGTGAGGTGGTGGCAGCCATCCAGGGCAGGGTCGGCAACCTTTTCCTGTAAGGGGCCAGATAGTAAATATTTTAGGCTTTGTGGGTCATTTAGTTTCTGTCATAACTCCTAAACTCTGCTGTTGGGGCAGGAAGGTAGCCATAGCCAATACATACACGAGTGGGCATAGCTGTGTTCCAATAAAACTTTATTTATAGATATCGAAATGTGAATTTCATAAAATTTTCATGTGTCATGAAATATCCTCCTTTTGGTTTCTTTTCAACCATTAAAAATGGTAAGAATGTGCTACTGGGATTGTAAAATGGTGAAGTCCCTCTGGAAAACAGTCTGGCACGTCTTCAAAAGTTAAATACGAAATTACCATGGGACCCAGTAATTCCACTCCTAGGTGTGTACCCACGAGAGCTGACAACACACATCCACACAAAAACTTGTACACAAATGTTCCTCTCAGTATTATTCCTAACAGCCAAAAAATAGAAACAACCCAAATGCCCATCAACCGATAAATGGATTTAAAAAAAGTGGAAGAGCCACACAGCTAACGTGCTACAACATGTGAATGAAAGTGAAAGAACTGAAAGAAATTTGTCATGAAAAGCCACACAGTGTATAATTGTTTTCCTGTGAAATATCCAAAATAAGCAAATCCATAGAGGCTGAAAGTAGATTAATGGTTGTCAAGGGCTGGGAATAAGGGTTGATTGCTAACCAGCATGGGAGTTTCTTTCTGGAGTGATGAAAATGTCCTAAAATTAGATTGTGGTTATGTTTGTACGACTCTGTGAATATACTAAAAAGCACAGAATTGTACACTTTAAAAGGGTGCCTTTTAATGTGAATTTATTTGAATTACATCTCAATAAAGCTGCCATTAATAAAAAAAAAAAGTTAAAGCCGTAGTTAGCTCCTGGGCCTTACAAAAACAGGTGTCAGGCTGGATATAGCCTGGGGGCTTTTGTCTACCCGCTGCCCCCAGGGCCTACCCCAAAAGTGTAAGTGGGCAGAGGTGGGAAAGTTGAATGTTGACCTCAGTTAGTTTGGCCCCAACAGGCTTTTTGGCCAGGTCTCATGAAAGATGAAGGAGAGACTCCTGGAACAGTCTGAAAGCTCTGGCCTTGACCTAGAGGAAAAAAATCATCCCTTCTGCTCTGAGCCTGGGGGCCTCCCTCCTGTTGGTGGGGGGAGGTTGAGAAGCACGCCTTGGAAATAAGAAGGAGGTGGTACTCGCCAAAAATGAATGAAACTACCCCAGACAATAAAATGCTTGGGCTAAGGTCTTACTCTCTGTGAATAGTTGCCTACTGCTGTGTAACAAATCACTCCAACACTGAAGTAGCCCCAGACAGCAAACACTCATTGTCTTGCACTGTTTCTGAGAGTCAGGAATCCGGATGGATGGTCTGGCGCATGGTCCTTTGTGAGACGGCAGTGGTCGGCTGGGACCGCAGTCATCGGAAGTCATGATAATTGAATGAGGGAGTAGGGTATAGCTCAGTGGTAGAGTGCATGCTTAGCATGCACGAAGTTCTAGGTACAATCCCCAGTACCTCCTCTCAAATAAATGAATACACCTAATTACCTCCCTACAAAGAAAAAAACTTAAAAAAACAAGACGATTGAATGGGTAACTAGTCTCATTGGTGTCGGGGATAGGTCATCAGAAGTCTTCATCATTGTTTGGGGACTAACAGAGCATAGAGGTTACCTGGCCCTAAGTATTATTAACAGTGTCTACTAACTATGAAGTCCTTGACGACAGAGAAGTGATTTGTTGCACAGTACAGTCCTGGGTAGGGTCAGTGCAAGGACACGAGGAACTGTATGGGCCCACGGTGCCAACACCCATACAGAGGGTGTCTCCATAGGGCTGCTCACGACATGGTACCTGCCTCCCGTCAGAGCAAGTGATCAAGACAGAAGCTGTAATGCCTTTTAAAGACCTAGTCTCCAAACTCACGCACTGTCACTTCTGCTTTACTTTCTTCCTTGGAAGCATGTGATTGAGTCCAGCCCACCCTAAGGCAGAGGGGAATTAGGCTCTGCCTCCTGAAAGGAGTATCGAGGAATTTGTGGACACACTTTTAAAACCAGCATGCTCTCCCCCTGCCCTGTTGTGACTTGCAGCCCCTGAGTTAGCCCAACAGGCCTAACCTCCACTTTCCTTGGACCCCAGTTCTCAACATCAGCACCTCAGTTCAGCTGGTGGCCTCCATGCCTTCAGGATTCCAGCCAGCGCAGACTCCAGACCCCACGGCTCCGGTCGCCTACTTTCCGTACTTCCACAGGACCTACCTGGCGGTGGCAGCGTCACTCAACGGGGGCAACGTGCTGGCCACGTTCGTCCACATGCTTGTCCAGTGGATGGCGGATCTAGGTAAGAGGTGGCCCACACAGCGGTGTGTTCTCCGCTTGCCCTTTCTATGTGGCTGTATCCCAGTGATGAATGTGCCGTAAGCTTCTAGATTCATGTCTCAGACCCAGCCAGGTTCCAGCACATTCGTTCCTTCTTTAGGGATCTGAGCCTGTAGGCTTCTTTCCTCTCATCTTCTGAGCTGCTCTCACCTATTCTCTTATTTGAGGGGCATCTTCTCTCCTAATCTTGACTTTGGAGAATCCTAATAGCGTCCTGGCTCTCCCCGGCCCCACTGTGTTACTGTCTCTGTCAGTAAGCCCCTGGGTCCCTTATGTTTGAGGTTTGCCTTCTGATGACAACAGACAGCTGAGAATAAAATGATCAGATGTGAATGAGTGCAACGACTCCCAGTATTTTACAATATTATCAAATCCTCATAGCACTTATTCCTGGTGGGTAGCTCCTGTCCCCCTTTCTTGGAAGGGTCCCTGGAAACTGCTCTCTTTAGGGGAGAATCGACCAGGCCTTCCTCTGCTCTGCATTTACAGGGAAACATGTGGAGAGGGTTCCTTTCCAAGTACTTAGGGCTAGAAATGAAATTTCTGGTCAGCTGTCTGGAAATAGGCAAATCATGTTCATTGGATGCACTGGTTGCTTGTAGGAGCTCAAAATCAGGTCATTCCAGGAAGCATCCAACAGAGTTAACTAGTGGGGGCTCAGCCACAGGGAGCACGTGGGAAACTCATGCTGGTCATGCAGACAGGTGTTGCTGACCACGTGGGTCCTTCCAGGCTGGCCAGGGACATTGGGATTGTGGGGGAGTTCTGACCCTTTGGCTGGGAGCCCCTCAGGAATGCTTAATGTAAAGAACAGAACTTTGATTTTCTTTTGCCTTACATTAAGAAAGGTTTTGAAGATATGGAACCAGTTATCAGAACCTTCAGGCATGCCCTTTGCCCTAGATACTGCTTTAACCGAATTGGATCCGTCAAATGTTTACTGAGTTGGCTGGTGCTTCTCTTTATACAGAACTGACTGTTTTTCTCACCCCTGAAGGAGGTGGTAACATTTAATTTCTCTCTAAGATCCCTTCAAAAAGAAAAGTCTTTTGCATTTTCATTGTTCTTATTTTGATCAAACAGAGAGTGCTTGAAAGTTTAGTGGTTTATGTCACTTAACCTTTTATGAAATTTCTACATTATTTCATTTGATTGAAAAAATTTTTTTTTCACTCTCATTCCTGAAGGTGTAGAGTTGAGTTTGTGTAAGTTAAGCGTGCAGATGAAGAGATTTCATGGTGACTCTTGGGTGGTGGTTCTCAGCACTGGCCACACGCTGGAAATAGTTGTGCAGTTTTAAAAACAATGTTTATGTCCTAGCTTCACCCTTAGAAGTGCTGATTATTTGCCTGGGAGTGGGGAGGAGTAGGGCCTGAGCATGGCATGTTATGAAAGTTTCTCAGGTGATTCTGATGCACTCAGGTGCTGGTAAGCACTGGTCTAGAACCTTCTACCCAAAAAGCATCGTCCTCAGGCCAGCAGCACTGGCTTCCTCTGGGAACTGATGATGACTGTGGAGTGTTAGGGCATACCCAGGCACACTGAGTCAGAAGCTGTATTTTAATAAGCTCCCTGAGTGATCCATATGCACATGGAATGGTGAGCTCTGGTCTAGACTGGCAATTCTCAACCTCAGCCGAGAGGCAGGCTAGACTGTGATCAGCACTGTGGTCCTGGGATTCCCATGACACTGCTAATAAGCCTAATAGCAGCCAGGATGATACTTATTGATCAGTGTATGCATTTGGCCTGCTTGGGACCAAGGGTCCCACAGCTGCAGGATGGTTAGGGCTCACAGCAGCATTTAAGATAATGTGTCCCTGAAGGCTGGGCTGGGTTCTGCAGTGAGAGAGCTGGCTGGGGTCTGGGGCAAAAGCACAGCTAGCCAGGCTATATGAGTCCTGAGCTGGAGCGAGGAGAGGCAGCAATTCAAGCTATTTCTGCCCCCTGGGAACTCTCTAGTCAGCCTGCAGTGAGAGGGTGCATGAACTCACACAGCCTTTCTCTGTTCCTGGCAGGCCTGGAGGTTGAAGAATCCACTGTATACTCACGCATGATCCAGGCAGCTGCACAGCAGAGAGACACGTGCCTAACCATCACTCCAACGGTGCTGGGCGAGAGGCACCTGCCGGACCAGCTGGCCTCAGTGACCAGAATCTCCTCCTCTGACCTCTCCCTGGGTCACGTGACCCGGGCCCTGTGCAGAGGCATTATTCAGAACTTGCACTCAATGCTTCCGTTTCAGCAGCTCCGAGAGTGGGGTGTGGAACGGGTGATCGGCAGTGGGAGTGCGCTGTCCAGGAATGAGGTGCTGAAGCAGGAGGTGCAGAGGGCTTTCCCTTTCCCAGTGTCCTATGGCCAGGATGTAGACGCAGCTGTGGGGGCAGCTCTGGTCATGCTCCAGAGAAACTTTAACCAGCAGGAGTCCTAGCACACTTGTTGGCTAAAGGACTGTTGCAAATTTTATCTAACTAACATTCCTGACATGATCTTGGGGCCATCCTTTTCCTGGACAGCTCTGTGGCGAGCTTTTAAATGATGCTTGTTCTCAAGGCATCATTTTGACCAAGAACCAGCCTTCAGGAAACACTCTAGTAATGCAGCTAGGAGTCACCAACTAGATCCCAAATAAGTTCCTTCTGAAAGAAACTCACCTGGGAGCTGGTTGCAAATGTAAAGGTGGAAAAAAGAAAGAGAGAGGAAGAGAGAAAGAAAACAGAACAGCAGCCCAGCATCCTGGTTGGCAGGGTCACCTGTGAGTCACGTGTAGACAAAGAAAATAAATGTGAACTTCAGACACCAAAAAAAGTTTGGTGGATATAGGCTCCAAGAAAGAACAGAAGACCCACCCCCACCCTATGTCCAGCTTTTGGATTTTTTTTTTTTTAAGGACATGAAGCCCAGATTTGGGTCACATGCAATGTTGGAAAAGTCTTCCCTACTGGATTGTACCTCATGACCCTGAGGCTCCTTTCCCAATCTCGTTCTTCCCTGGCCACAGCTGGTTAGCTGGGGCAGGAGGAGACTCAAGGACAGTGAGGCAGGCTGGCTAAGATGAAGTTGCAGGGGTCTGTGCTGGCCTTCTCACCACGTCCTTCCCCTCCAAGGAGAGCCTGCTGCACTGGGGCTGCCCCAGATGCTCACGACACAGCTGGTTTGAAGATATGGAACAGGGAAGAAAAGGTGGACAGCATGACCAGCAAGGGGGACAAGTGCTGTGTGGCCCTGCCTTTCAGGCACCAGCAGGACCCTCTTCCAGGAGTGTGTTGTGCAAGTGTGTTTTAATCCCTGCACATCCCTGGGAAGCCTTCCAAGGGAAGGGATGCAGCCGGGCATATTCCTATCAGAGAGAACCCCTTGTCCAGCAGGCCCCAGCTCTCCTTTCTCTTGGTGTGGGCCTGGCTGGCCCACCATCTGTTCCTGGCTCATAGAAGCATTCCACTGGAGTTGACATCTCTGCAGGGATCCCAGAGCAACTTAAATCTACCTGTGCTTGATAGGATGACTGTGGAATGGCTTTCAGTAGAGAGCCATCATCACTGCATCTGCTTCCACTCTCCCAAGGGTGATCCCAGGTGCCTGATTCTGAGGTCCACGGGCAGCGATGAATTTGGGGAGCAGTCACATCTCTGTGTAGTTGCCACTCTATGAGTTATGTGATTGTCCAAAACTCTTAGGTTAATCTGCCTGGCTGTGCTGATTGAATTTCAGATACTAAAGCTCATTCTTCCACAGCCTTTTCCCTTTAATAAAACACACCTCTCTGCTTTGGGAAGACTGGCACTGCAACAGAGCTGGGTTTGGGAGGTTGGATGTAGCCCTGGGGATCATTTGTAGGTTGTCCCTTGAAAGAGCCCTGCCTGCCCCATGGTTCTTCTGGGACAAGTGGCTGCAGATCACTCAGGAAAGTCATGCGATTTTTCCCTCAGCCAGAATGAGTTGACACCCTCATTTTGAGAGGAAGACACCTTGGGATGGGCAGCAGGATGGCAGAGAGCGCAGTCCGTCAGGAGGAGCTGGCTCCCTGACTTCAGGGAGGCAGCCTGTCTTGCATTCCCAGGATGCTGCAGGTGGAGTCTGTAAATAAAAGAGTTGGAGCTGGATGGGTGTCCTGCAAACCCAGGCACCCTGGCCCAGTGCCCAGCATGGCCCCGGCACTCTGTCCCCTTTCCGCATGTCCACTCCACCTCTGAGGCTGAGCCTGGCACATCCAAGCTTGTCAGCTAGCAGTCCTGCTGCCGTTTCTAAGGCACATGGCCCTGAGCACAACTGCCAGGGCCTCATTTCTCCAGCCTGAAGTCACAGGCCACCCACGGCTTCTGCTTTCATTCCCGGGAGGTACCAGAAAGTGGGACCAGCCTGATCCAGATAAAGAACTGGGCCTTTAGGGCTGTCTGCCAACATCCTGGTCTTAAAGCACGTGGAGGCTTGCGTTTTCCCACCTGATTTAGTTCGGCCAGTAAAATGTGAACAGACGTGTGTCACTTCCAGGCAGAAGTCCTTTGGAGCCAGTGAGATGTGTCACATTCCCTTCCCTTTGCCATCAGTGACCAGGGGTGTCCCCAAGAGAGGAGACTTTGCCAGGCTGGGTCCCATGTGAGGCCAACGTGGCGCAGAGCCCTCACCAACCAGTGAATGACACACAGTGTGACTGAGAAATAAACCTTTGGTGTTTGAAGCTACTGAAATTTGGGGGCTGTTTGTTACCATGGTGTAACTTAGCTTGTCTTGACTGCTGCAGCCCCAGTAGGGACTGTGCCTGAGAACTCTCACCTGCATCCAGCACAGACCCAGGTAAGCCGTGTTTACAGAGCATCCACTAGGAGCTGGGTGTTCTGTCAAGCATGGTGATGTGTTGTTGGATTTCCATCACTAGGGAATGAAATAACACCATAACAGATCTGCCTACGTGCCCAGAAGAAGGGGCAATTCATTCTTCATGCAAGTGTCATTGAGCTAAGCCTTGGAGACTTTCTGTCTAGTGGTGCTAGTGATAATTAGTGTTTTTTGGAGTGCCTACCATGGACTAGAAGCTAGTCTAGACTCTACTTGTTGGAACTCATTTGATCTTCAAAATGATCCTAGAAGGTGAGTACTGTTGTCCCCATTTCACAGATAAACTGAGACACGAATGAAGTAACTTACCTAAGTTCACAGCACTGAGATGCAAAACCCAGAGCCCACTTCCTTTAGCACTCTAGGCAGCGAGCTCGGGGTAGGCCAATGTATTTATGTTAAAGTGAATGGCCTGTCTAGGGCGTGATGAAATGTCTGGTATCACTTGATCATGGGGTGGATAAAATGGTGCTGTGGGAGTTGTGATTGGAAATGTTGGCCAGACTGGGGAGAGTGGTGGATGCCAGACTGAGGGTTTGGACTCTCTCCTGTAGGCAGCAGAGGGCAGGACGAGCTTCATGGGCTTTGGGAGAAGAACTGGCAGTGTGGACTCTGGATTGGAGAATGGATGTAACTGGAGGCGGGTCCCTATTAAAGGAACCTAGAACCAGCCTGAGAGATGGTGAGGCCAGAGCCAGCGCAGGGGCCGAGGAGTGAAGCTGGCCCTCCCTCTCACTTCCTGCCCCTGCCACACACACCCCTCCTTTGGCCTTTGACTGTATATACATGACGTTTATGTGGCTTTCATGTTCTCTGTTTTTCTTTCTTTCAAGTGGTTGGAAAGCTCCTCAAAGGCAGGGTCCCTATTAGGTATTCTCTGTCCTATCTTCCTCCTGCATCTTAATTTGGGCTGATGTTCACCTCACAGGGCAGAACACCTTGTCCAAGGTCTGGCTTGGATGCCATCCACCTGCTGCAGTGCCCTGCAGCGCATCTGCCACTGGGTTATAACTGTATCCAGGACCCCACTCAGTGTTTGATGTTGGGCCCCGGCTTGCGCTTGTTACGGGGCACCCCCCTACCCCCAGCCCTGTAAGCATCCACGAGAGCCTAGAAGGTCTTCCTCCCCACCCATCCTGGCCTCCTGGAGGGCACAGACCATCTTATTCGCCGTACTCACCTCTGGGTTCTCAAGTGCAGCGTGGCCCTCGGGAAAGAGGGTGGGTCACACCAAACCTCTTCTCAGGCACGATTAGATAACACAGGCCACATCTTTGAAAGTTAGATGTTCTTGGTACAGAGATGCTCTTTGTGTGACTCATGAAACATTAAGCAAGTCTTGTTTTTTTCATTGGAAAACAATTAGCCACCACCTCAAGCTAATGGCCGGATACAGCTTAGCAGTTGGCAGATGAATTCTCACTGAAATAATAAGGAGAGGTCCAACCCCCAGGCCTGCCTAGAGCCCATTCACACCGCATCCTCAGTAATCCCCAGCAGCAGGCCGGGCAGGTGCTTGCGCCTGTTTTGTGGGTGAAGACTCAGGCCTGGAGATTCAGCTCCCACCCAAGTTCATGCAGCTGGCATCTGGTCTCTTCACTCCTGCTTGCATTCTCCGCCACCGCCCCTCACCCTCCAATAGCTTCTCGCTCTGTTCCAGACCCTCCCTGGATCCCAGCTCGGCAGAGCTGGGCTCAGCTGTCGGTGCCGAGTGGATGTCTGTTCCCTCCCCAGCTCAGATGGCCAGCTCCATCTGCTTCTGATGCACGCCGACCCCTCTCACAGACCCTCGCCCTCCCTGGGAGCTGACTCATGTGGGTACTTGGTGACACTAACGCACAGGCCAAACGCAGAAAGGAAAGTAGCTTTCTTCCAGGCTTGCTGTTTGCCATCTGGATCTGGGACCCCTGTGGTCTTTAAAATTTGGGAGGCAAGACACATAAATCAGGACAAGATTTAGAAATCTCAGTACAAGATTTAGAAAGCTTAAGACTAGTGGAGCTGTCACCGTCCTCGGGTGGGTCACAGACACCTGCAGTGGTGCCTTAACCACTCTCCCCAGGGCTGAGACTAGCACCGCCTGCTTCCACCCAGTTCCTCCGGAGGTGCCAGGCTGACAGCTCCCGACTTTGATAATCAGGCTTTTTTAGCACATGGGAGTTTGCTGGTCTCTAGCTGTGCCAGAAGGTCTGGCTTCAACTCCTACAGGAACCGAGGTAGATGAAGAAAATATATTAGGCTCCTTTTGCCAGGGTCAAGAGCTCAGTTTAATTCAGTGTGCCCTGTGGTGGTAACACCGGGGGAGAGAGAGGGGCAGAGAGGAACTGAGGCTGTGAGTGACGGTTGCAGTCTTAGCGTAGGTCTACCAGATCAGGCCCAGCCACCTGCTCTGGTGGTTACTCTAGCGCCTTCCTGTGCTGCCTCTTGTCCCCGTCAGACTGGAGCTTGGAGAAGCTCCCCCTCCCAGAAGTCGTCATTAAAACATGATCTACTTACAAGAAGTTTTAATGGGTACATCATTACATAGATCCAAGAACACCATGTTTCAAATTATGACCCAGAAACCACAGCGAAGGCGGCAAGCCCCAGCCATGAGGTCTTGTTCGCAATACCATTTTATGAGCTTTAGTGGGACCACTCAGGGCAGGTACTATTCAGACAAAGCCTGGCCAGCGGGCGCCTTTGGGAAAGGCACGGAGCTAGGCTTGGAGAAGGGAAACAGGGCACCAGTGGCCTGTCGCGCCTTGGAGCCATTAAAATCCGCAAAGCCAGGTACAAACATCAGAGAAGTCAGAGCTCAGTACAAGCTTTTGGAAGCTCCAGGTGAGACCTGTACGGTTGCCACTGCCCTTGGGCAGGTTACATAGACTGTCTGTAATTCATTTCTTCATCTATAAAGTGGGGACAAAATTGTACTCACCTCTTTGTGAGGGTCTGATGAGACAGTGCATATAAAATGCTTATCCCAGAACCTGGCATTCTGCCATTACTGTTGTCATCATGATCACAGGTACCAACAGTCCCAGGAAGGCAGAGATTGGAGGAGGTGGGATTTGAATGACAGAATCTCAGCATCCATAGGTCTCACCTGCCACCTGGGTTAAGGGGGATGAATGTTGGGCAGAAGAAGGGCAAGGAAGCAGCCTGGAGCAGGTACGGTCAGTGTGACTGGGGAGGAGATGTAGCTAGGTGACAGTAGGGCCTGGACCACAGTGGGAGGGGGGGCTGGGACCGTGGGCTCAGGGCGCCAGGTGGAGGGCTGGGGTCTTGTTTGGTAAAGGAACACAATCAGGAGGATGTTCTAGGCCTGGGACTAGAAGGTGGCGGGTGGGAGAGGCTAGACTGGGAAGGGAAGGTACTTTCAGTGCTTCCAGGGAGAAGTGGCTGCCAGCTACAGTGAGGGGTGGACATGAGCTGCAGAAACGGAGCCCAGACTGCGAGGACAGAGAGGAGAGGGTGGAGAGGACAAAATATGGCAGATGTGGTGACCGGAAGAAAGTTGGTGCCTTTACAGGCATGAATGTTGAGGGGAGGGAGTGTGGAGGGAAGAGGAGTCCATCTCGGGATGTGCTCAGGGGAAGGGGTTTGTGGTCATCACCTGCAGGTTCCGGGAGGCAGGGAAGCAGCTCCAGGGAGAAGGCTGGCCTGGACACCCGGGTGAAGGAATCATTGACTTGGGAATGTCAAATGGGTTCTTAGAGGGGTGAGGGTCTCAGAGAGGGAAAGGAGGAGGTAAGAGTTCTAGGGACCCCCTGCATGTAGGAAAGAGCTTGGTGGGGAGAGGCAGCCAAGGAAACCAGGAAGGAGCTGTCAGGAAGGGGGAGAAGGGCCAGGATTTCCCCTGCACTGAACCATGGAGACTCCAGGATGCTGTCAGCCCTGGTGGCTCTGTTACAAAGAGGGCGTATTTAGTGATGTGTGTTGTCCTCACCAGAGGCAGAAATCACCTTGAAGTCTTAGGGGACATTGCTCCTGGGCTGGCCGGTCCTCTCAGCACCTGTCTCAGATGTCTCCCCACTGTGGCCGGGGGCTGCCCATGGCTGACACCCGGCCCTGGTCCAGGCAGCATGTGAGCCCGGGGATGGACCTGACACAGTGCTGTACTGAGTTGTGCTTAATGCTACTGAAGCTGTACACTTAAAAATGGTTAAAATGGTAACATTTTCCAAAAATTTCTTTATTGAATGAAAGATTCATTAAATTCTATAGTGCTTTACAATTTTCAGAAGTTTCACACACATGATTTCATATAATCCCATAATAACCCTCCCAATCTATCTGGCCCCAGCAACATGGATGCTCCTGGAGAATGTCATTCTAAGTGAAGTAAGCCAGAAAGAGAAAGAAAAATACCATATGAGATCGCTCATATGTGGAATCTAAAAAACAAAAACAAAAACAAACAAACAAAAACAAAGCATAAATACAGGACAGAAATAGACTCACAGA